TCAATAAGTTTCTGCAGTGCATCTTGAAGTACTCTATCGCCACTATGCACTGGAAGTTGTAGGTGAGGGTTGGATCAAGTGGGTTTCCTTGTTCTGGAAGGTGTTTAGTGACTTTAGTATCATTGCAATTGGAATTATCCAGACAAAGGCAAAATATTCCATTCATCTTCTGTGACCAGCTGTGTTCTGCAAGCATCAGTGCTGGGACTTCTGTTGTTTTAATATATATAAACAATCTGGATGAAAATGTAGTTAGTCTGGTTAGTAAATTTGCAGATGACATGAAAATTGGTGGAGCTGTGGATAGTAAAGAATGTTCTTGTAGAATACAGCAGGATATAGATCAGTTGGTAAATTGGGCAGAGAAATAGCAGATGCAGTTTAATCTGGACAAGTGTGAGATGATGCATTTTAGGAGGTCAAATGCAAGAGAAAAGTACACAATTAATGGCAGGATCCTAAAGACATTGATATACAGAGGGATCTTAGGGTATAAGTCCATTGCTCCCTGAAAGTGGCTACACAAGTGGGTGAAGTGGTAAAGATGCCATATGGCACGTTTGCCATCATCAGTCGGGGCACTGTATATAAAAGTTGGCAAGTAGTATAAAGCTTTAGTTAGGCCACATTTGAGTATTGTATGTAGTTCTGGTGACCACACTATAGGCAGGATGCGGAGGTTTTGGAGAGGGTGTAAAAGAAGTGTACCAGGATGCTGCCTGGATTGGAGTGTATTAGCTATAAAGAGAGGTTGGACAAACTTGGTTTGTTTTTGGTAGAGCATTGAAGGCTGGGGTTTCTGGGGGCAATTCAGGAGGCACAGCAGAAATTCATCTCCAGTAAGGAGAAACATGCTAAGGGGAGGATGAAGTAACCATAGCTGACCAGGGAAATTAAGGACAGCATAAAAGCAAAGAGAAAGCATACAATGTGGTGAAGATTAGTGGGAAGACAGAGGATTGGGAAGCCTTTAAAAACCAGCTGTGGATAACTAAAAAAGAAATGGGGGAGAAGATGAAATATGAGGATAAGCTAGCTAGGAATATAAAAGAAAATTGCAGGAGTTTTATATATAGGTAGAAAGGCAAGAGTGGACATTGAACAAAGTTGCTGGAAAAGCTCAGCAGGTCTGAGGAAGGGTCACTGGACCCGAAACGTTAACTCTGTTTTCTCCTCCACAGATGCTGCCAGACCTGCTGAGCTTTTCCAGCAACTTTGTTTTTGTTCCTGATTTACAGCATCCGCGGTTCTTTTGGTTTTTATAAGAGTGGACATTGGACTGCTGGAAAACGAGGCTGGAGAAGTAGTAACGGGGAACAAAGAAATGGTGGGGGAAATAAATAGGTACTTTTCATCAATTTTCATGGTTGAAGATACCAGCAGCATACCCGAACTTCAAGAGAATCAGGAGACAGGGGTGTGTGTATCACCATCACTGAGGAGAAATTGTTGAGGAACGTGAAAGGTCTCAGGGTGGACTACACTCCATTATTCTGAAGAAGTTAGCTTAGAGATTGTGGAGGCATGGGTGGTGATCTTTCAGGAATAACTCGAGTCAGGGTGGGTGTCAAAGGCCTGGAAAATGGCTAATGTAACACACCTGTTTATGAAGGGAGGGAGGCAGAAGTCAGGAAGTTATAGGTCATTTAACCTGACCTCAGTCATTGGTAAGAGTTTAGAGTCCATTATTAAGGATGAGATTGCAGAGTATTTGGAAGTACATGGTTAAATAGGGCTGAGTCAGCACAGCTTCATCATGTCTGACAAATCTGTTAGAATTCTTTGAAGAGGTAACAAGCAAGTTAGACAAAGGACAGCCAGTAGATGTAATCTATTTGGATTTCCAGGAAGCTTTTGACAAGGTGCCCCACACAAGGCTACTAAATAAGAGTCCATGGTGTTAGAGGCAAGTTACCAGCATGAATAGAGAATTGACTCACTGGCAAAAGGCAGAGACTAGACATAAAGGGATCTTTTTCAAGATGGCAGGCAAATGGCTAGTGGAGTTCTGCAAGGGTCAGTGTTGGGGCCACAATTATTCACATCATACACTAATGATCTGGACGAAAGAACTGAGGGCATTGTTGCTTAGTTGGCAGATGACACAAAGAGAGACAGGTTGTGTTGAGGAAGTGGGGAGGCTGCAGAAGGATTTGGACAGGCTGGGAGAATGGGCAAAGAAGTGGCAGATTAAATACAATTTGGGAAAACTGTGAGGTTATGCATTTTGACAGGAAGAATAAAGGTGTGGTTTATTTTCCAAATGGGGAAAGGTTTCAGAAATCCGAAGTATAAAGGGACTTAGGAGTCCTAGTTCAACATTCTTTTAAGTTTAATATGCAGATTCACTTGGCAGTTAAGGCGGCAAACACAATATCAGCATTCATTTTGAGATGGCTGGAATACAAAAGTAGAGACGTACTGTTGAGGCTGTATAAGGCTCTGGTCAGACACCATTTGGAATATTGTGAGCAGGTTTAGGCCCAGTGTCTAAGGAAGGACGTGCTGACCTTGAAAGGATCCAGAGGAAGTTCAATAGAATGATCCCGGGGATGAAGGGCTTATCAAATTAGGAACAGTTGAGGACTTTGGAGTTTAGAAGGATGATAGGGGAATCTCATTGAAACTTACAAAATACTGAGAAGCCTGGATACAGTGGACATGGAAAGAGCATTTCCACTAGTAGGAGAGAGTAGGACCAAGGGGGACAGCCTCAGAGAGAGGGGACAAACATTTAGAACTGCCAGAGGGTGGTTAATCTGTGGAGCTCATTGCCAGGCTAGGGAGGCCAAGTCATTGAGTGCATTTAAGACAGAGGTAGGTTCTTGATTGATAAGGGGATGAAGTATTATTGGGAGAAGGCAGGAAAATGACGTTGAGAAGCATATCAGCTGTGATCAAATGGTGGAGCAGAACCAGTGGACTAAATGGCCTAATTCTTGTCCTATATCTTATGTTCTTAGGCTCAATGGTCACTCATCAATATAGTCATGGACATATGCATCTGCAATAGGTAGATTGCTGTGCAAAATGTCAAGTAGCATTTTCCCTCTTGATCTCTCTGCACCAGCAAAAGCACCAGCCTAACAGTTATGTCCTTCAGAATTTGACCAGCTTGATCAGTAATGGTAGCATTTGTGTTGGTGAACTTTGAAATTGCCCATTCAAATTACATTTTGTGCCTTTGTCACCCTCAGTGCTTCTGCCAAGTGACGTTTAACATGGAGGAGTACTGATTCATCAGTTGAAGTAAGGCAGTCGTGGGTAATCAGCAGGAGATTTCTTTGCCTACTTTTGACTTGATATAATTAGACTTCATGAAGCCCAGAGTCAAGGTCTTGGACTCCCAGGGCCATTCTCTCCCAAATGTATACCACTGTTTAAATTATTGGCAAAGATCTGTAGCTCGGATTGTAGACGAGGTTGTTGACTTGCTCGCTGAGCTGGCTTGTTCTTGTTCAGACGTTTCATCACCATGCTAGCTGACATCATCAGTGGACCCTCTGATGAAGCGATGTTATTCTATCCG